ATTTGGCTTCCCTCTGCTCTTGCAGTTTATTTACATGGCTCATGTTCACACATCCATTATGCTCATTAGCAGAAAATCGATGACACTGGAGGTGGGGCCAAGTGGCAGCCCATGACCACACAGACAGGAGATGCCTTTGCCTGTTCACCTCACCCCAGGGATCAATGCCCCCTTCAATCATCCCCGAACCTCCTGAACCTCCGAACCTCCTTTTCATTTCCTGGCAATACACAGGAAGCTCCTCACAGAAGGCAGGACTGAGGAGTCCCTTTGGGGGTAAGCAGACACTAAACGGCCATGCAGGTCCTGCTGCCAGCAACTTCATTATGAAGATGAGTGGCAAGACCCCACCTCACCGGTAGCAGGTGTGAGGGGCGGGGCTCCGCCTCACCGGTAGCAGGTGTGAGGGGCGGGGCTCCGCCTCACCGGTAGCAGGTGTGAGGGGCGGGGCTCCACCTCACCTGTAGCAGGTGTGAGGGGCGGGGCTCCGCCTCACCGGTAACAGGTGTGAGGGGCGGGGCTCCACCTCACCTGTAGCAGGTGTGAGGGGCGGGGCTCTGGTGGCTTATGAACTGTTATCTCTGTGCTGTACACTCACCGGCGTTTTGACTGATTACAGTGCTCTCTCAGCAGTGGTGCATTGTTGGTAATTTTGTCCATCCCAGAACGAGCACCTTCCTCACTTGATGGTGCCTCCTCCTCCTCGCCCTGGCCGGTTGGCTTCTTCAAGCTCCTGCACTTCTGCTTTCTGGTCCTCTCTCTGCCTGTCCCCCACTACCCCCCCCACCCTGCACTCTCCTCCCGCTCCAGCTCCCTCCTTCCCTCTGTCCTCTCCTCTGTTCGGCATCGCTCCGATAGCAGATGCATGATTTATGAAGCTCTATTTTTACCAGTTACCGTGCCAAAGAGAGAGAGGAAGAAAGAAGGAAAGAAAGAGGGCTTGAAGTGAGCGGGAACCCTGGGGGAGGGATGAGAGGAGCTGCTGCAGACTGGGGGGGCCGCAGCCAGCCGGCACCCCCCACCTGCCTCCCTCTCATGAATTAACATTTAAAATCGCCTTTATTGCGCTGACAGCAGAGCAGTGTGGCCCCCAGCGCTGCTTAGATGCTGCACTGTGGCACAATCCACAGCGGTCAGGTTATTCCAAACAGAGGCGCTATCTGCCGGCCCCAGGAATAAGCACGGCTCCCCTGGGGGCCGTAAACCTGCAGCCGCAACATAATTACACATCAGTAACCAGGCTGACGTCACTCACGTGTCTCAGCCGGGATGGTCAGCTAGAGACTCCTGCTTATCGCAGATGCCAGCGTATCGCATGGTAACCGCCCGGCTCACGCTGCTACTGCAAGAGCCAAAGGAGGAAGAACCTGGAAGTGCAGCAAAGCCACACACAGGCTGGGAAGCTGATGTTTGGCATCAGAAGGACGATGACTGAAATAGGAAGGGATACATATGCGGCTGTGTCCCTGTCTACGTCTCTGTTCCTGTCTGTGTCCCTGTTTCTATCCCTGTCTGTGTCCATCTCTGTTCCTGTCTGTATCTGTGTCCCTGCTGGTGTCCATGTCCCTGTCTCTGTCCCGGTCTGTGTTTGTGTCCCTGTCTCTGTCCCGGTCTGTGTTTGTGTCCCTGTCTCTGTCCTGGTCTGTACCCCTGTCTGCAATGCTGTATCTTCATATGTCTTGGTAACCATGTAACATAATGATAATGATGCAGTAACATCAATATGTCATAAATAACAAACCCCAATTTTTGCTGAATGTATGTATATAATCTATCAAATGGAAAATTATGTTTGTTTTCATGAGGCAATTTTTTTATCCTTGAATTATTCAGACAAAACATTAATGATGAAATCTGCCTTTCCAAATGAGGCTCGCAGTACCTTCTCTCGACATCCACAAGTTGGCCGTCGGCCCTCCTGCCATCAGCACTGCCCTCGTGTGCCACTACGAGACCCGTGCTAATTAAACACAGACAGGGGGCGCTGTGGGTGACTCTGTCACAGAAATGCAGCTGGCTAAGCTGAGGTAAAACACGGTAAAATAAGTCAGGTGTAACTGACCCTGTGGCCGTAATTACAACATGACAGCTGGGTCCCTCATCACCAATCTGACCCTCATTCACACGCCTGTCTGCGCATAACTACACTAAAACTGCGCAAAAAAAACTTCACACTGCAATCCCAGGTTTAACATTTCACTACCCGTTTTCTGTACTAGCGACTGGTTCATTACGACGTTTTGCCGTGTTCATTAAACATGACAAAAATCCCCAGAACACCGCAAGTCATTATAAAAGAAACACATTATTAAAACAGCTTCGCAAGCATCTCCCATGACGACACAGCAGGCGGCACAGAAATACCCTGATCCCTCTAGCACACCCGCAGGCAGACGCAGATATCACACGTCTCAGTGCACACTTATCTATGCCCGGCTATCGATCATGTAATCACTCTGGAAAACACCGGCCCCTCCACGGAGCCCCCCGCCAAGCAGGCACACACACACACACACATACAAACACACACACACACTCCCCCGTGTGAGAGCACGTGTTGACTGATTAACAGGATCTCAAGGAGGATCCTGAGCACTCAGAGAAAGGCTTGACCTCCTCATCCAGAGGAAATTACCGCGAAGCCCAGGAACGCGATGGACGCCCTACACCTCACTGGGCATCCGGCACCTTCTGTCCTCTCCGGTCCCTGAGCGTAGCCCAATAGCCCAAGAATAGGATGAAAGGCAGAGAACGAGGGGAAGAGCATGATAGGGTGACGATGATCAGCGTGATGCACAGCTACCCAGAAACACAGGCAACCCCCCCCCCCCCCACTGTGAAGGTAAGACACCCAGCTGGTTGTTCACTCACCGCAGCAGAGAGGCGCCCCCTGCTGGCAATGGCGTGGCGGAGCGCGAGGCGCAGCATGGCATCCAGCCGCATCACCACAGCCTCCAGATCCTTCTCCCCACGCATGGCCGTCTCCAGCGAGCTCAGGCTCTCCACGTACCTCTGCCAGTGGGGCTGCACGTAGGCCACCCCCCCCAGGCAGTCTTGCACAGCCACTAGACAGGAGGTGGGGCAGGGCGGGGCAGCAGGCAGGCCCTGGCAGCGCGGGCAGTGCCAGAGGCGTGCCAGGGAGCGGCCGCAGTCGCGGCTGGGCCGCAGGTGGGCAGTGGTGTTCACCACCTCGATGCCCAGGTTGAGTGCCTGCAGGAAGACGCGCGTCGCCAGCAGCGAGCTGGAGAGCCGCGCCGCCAGCAGCTTGGGCTGCAGCCCAAAAGCCCCCATGTCCCTCCAGGCCCCGCGCAGACAGTCCTCCAGGGCGGCGCCACCCACTCCACCCAGCAAGCGCCGATAGACCACGGGGAAGAGCCGGTCAAAGAAGGAAGCCACCAAGTCATCCACGCGGACGTCGGAGCCCAGGATGTAGAAGGAGGCCTCCAGGAAGAGCCGGCCCACCGCAGCATTGGCCCCGCCCCTCAGTCCCGGAAACTCCTCCCCCAGCATCCTCAGGGTGGCATTGCGGGCGTGGCGCAGCACCATCTCGAAGGCCTCTGGGGGGCGGGGGGGACAGGGGGAGCAGAGGGGAGAGAGCCGGTGTCAGTCCGCACAGGGGAGCGAGTTACTGCTGCGGGGAGCAGGATGATATTAAATCTGATCCAGGGTCGTCGGGGTTCAGGTCCCGAACACAGGGCCCGAACACAGGTCCTGAACACAGGGCCCGGCACACAGGGCCCGAACACAGGGCCCGGCACACAGGGCCTGGCACACAGGGCCCGAACACAGGGCCCGGCACACAGGGCCCGGCACACAGGGCCCGAACACAGGGCCCGAACACAGGTCCCGAACACAGGGCCCGGCACACAGGGCCCGAACACAGGTCCCGGCACACAGGGCCCGAACACAGGGCCCGGAACACAGGGCCCGGCACACAGGGCCCGGAACACAGGGCCCGAACACAGGGTCCGGAACACAGGGCCCGAACACAGGTCCCGGCACACAGGGCCCGAACACAGGGCCCTGCACACAGGGCCCGAACACAGGGCCCGGCACACAGGGCCCGGCACACAGGGCCCGGAACACAGGGCCCGGAACACAGGGCCCGGCACACAGGGCCCGGCACACAGGGCCCGGCACACAGGGCCTGGCACAAGCGACACACTTCAAGGGTTCAAAATGAATGTTTTTCAGTCAAAGCGAAGATGTGATAAAAAGAACAAGGGAGAAAATGACAAAAAGAAACAGCTGAAGAAGAAAAATAATTAGACGTGTTAAAGGATTATAATGAAAGACTTGCGGTGACGAGTGAAGTTTTATCAGTGGAGTAAATACGGTAAATGGGCTTGAGCTCAAGACACAAAATCCGCCATTCAAGGAGCTGCATTTCAATTAGAGACAAACAGGGAGAACGCAGTAGAGAGGGAGCCCCGGAGCAGTCTGGTCGGAATCCCACTCGCAGATGTGAGGATGGACTCCAGGAAGTTTCTGCCAGGAGGGGGATTCCTCAGTGAGGAGCTCAGATGCACTGGTGTGATTATGAGGTTAATTAGAGCGTGTAAGCCGGGCGGCGGGGGGGTCAGGTGTGTACACCCCAGCGACGTGTTACGGATCATTTTCCGCGTTTATCCTCGGCGCCCAGACACTGCTGCCTAATCGCGTCGCTGGCATCCGATTGGCCTTCTGTTCAGCATCCCAGCTCACAGGGCACAGCCTGACAACATTCCCTGTGCTGGCACACAACTCAGAACAGTCCCATACGTACATACACACACAGGCCTGCTCACATATACACAGGGCTTTGACGGCCATCACGGTTCTCCTATTTGACGTCTACCACTTGGTACGTCATTTTCACTCCGGCGCACTCGGTGAAAAGAATGAACATTTACTTCTTGACATGGGCAGAACCTAAAATCAGCAGTTGGTTACGGCTAATGCTGGTTACAGGCAGTCATGGTTCCCCAACATTTCGGTTCCCCAATAAATTACACCAGCGGCGGAGGAAGAAGAGGCCGACTTGGCTCTGTTATATCGAACTCAGATACGTTTCTGGAGACACAGCCAACATGCAAATTCATTCAGGACGGTCATCCGTGTGTGTATGACTGGGGCGAGGCAGAGACAGTCTCTGCAAGTCAGTCTCCCCGTGACATTTAAGGCACTTTAGGCAGGAAATTCAGAGTGGGGGAAAAAATGATAATGGCTATAGGGACGGTCATTACTACAGACAGGCGGTTCCAGGGGTTTTAACTGGGGTGGCCTGAATGTGTTCTTAATGTACACAGAACCCCAAATATTTAATATGCATTAACATTTTACTAATAAAAGCCTAAAACACAAATTAATAGGCTGACGTCTCCTATTTTGCATAACCTTATTGTAGGGTAGCATTAACAATGATACATAAATAGGAGTTAATTTAGTCAAATGCTCTAAGCAAACCACTAAACAAAACAATTTATTCTGTATAAATTCTGTATAAATGATGCAGGATAAATTGAATTGAAAAACTGCATTGTGCAAACGCTGGGTTCTGTATTCCCCTAAAGCAGGGGTGGCCAATCTTACCCGCAAAGGGCCGGTGTGTATGCGGGTTTTTGGGATAACCTGTAGGTCAGCTGTTCAAACCCAGGTGTGAGGACTCTTCAGCCAATCAGTCCTCTAATTAGTAATCTAATTAGGGAGTTGCAGTGAAAACCCGGAAACACACCAGCCCTTTGCGGATAAGATTGGCCACCCCTGCCCTATAGTAACTCAGAATGTCTAAGCTGAATGACATAATATACCAGACATTATAGTGCACTGTTTGCTGGAGTAATAAGACAAATAATGAATAAATAATAGGTTCTGCCCATATTTAAGGTGGCTAAAGTCGTGCACTTAGGTCTGCAGAACAGATTGCAAGATGTTAGGAGACCTTGCCATGGGACACCAGCATAACACCATTTTAAAGGCCTTTAACGGTTTTAATCAGCCCTCGCGCCAAAACAGGCTGCGCGTCGTACGCGGGGGGGGGGGGACACACACCCTGCTAGTGATACTAGTAATATTGCTACGACAATGTTAACAGCAACGACAGACACTCACTGGTGAGCGGCAAACTGGCATATGACAGCGATGGGCACCATGCCCACCATGAAGCAGGGGCTGCCAGCTCTCACGCATCTGCCGAGACACTCAGCCTTTCAGACTCACCTCCCGGCTAATCTATATTATTCCATTATGAACCTGAAATTAGCTACATCAAAGGCGCTGGGGTAGATTGCAAACCCTACAGACTATTGGCTGGGTGATAAACTCCTACATACATGTACACGTGAGTGCAGAATGTCTCAAATTGAAAATCTGGATAAACCCTGGATAAAGGACTCAGATGATGGTTACAATGGTAACAAGTAGAGCAAGCAGAGCAAACCAGTTCAAGTACAATGCAATACAAGGGGCAGAATAACAGAAGATTGGTTTAGTAAAAGGCATCAAAAGCATAAGAAGGGGGGGTTTGTAAAAGGAGCTGTATACAGTCACTGTTTAGAGATATGCCATGTACATGCATTTAGATCTGCCATATATACAGCAGACTGGATAAGGGGAACACAGGAACAGAATACAGGAAGAGATACACAGGAATAGAAACACATACAGTACAAAGCCTACATATACACAGACAGGGACAGATGCATGGGTAACAGAAACACACACAGCCTGGGAGACAAAGTCCATGCATTTAGATCTGCCATATATACAGCAAACTGGATGAGGGGAACCACAAGCCAGCACTCCACCGCTACGGAGAGGGAGCAGAGCTGCTCGGTGCATTTTTCCAAGAATCCCGTTCAGAGCCGCTGAGTGAGTTTTACAAGTTCTGCTTGTCGCATTCACACCCTGAAGGCAGCATACAAACCCCTCACAGTCCAGCGGAGAAATATTTCGCCAATCGCCGGCCCACAATTCCATCAGCCCAGTTTGTGGCTAAAAGCAGAAGATGGACATAATAATAGGCGATTGATGCTCTGTCTCGGATCAGAGGGTCACTGGTTCCAATCCCAGGGTCGGCAGGTCATTGGGCCCTTGAGCAAAGTCCTTCACCCCAGTTGTTCCAGGACCAGGCAGATCCTAATTTCTCAAATATGGGTAAAAGCGTCTAAAAATGTAATTGATAGTAACAGCATAAGCTCACTAATATATTAATATCTAGCAGCTAATACAAAGCACAGCCTTCAGAAGAGCTCCAGCGCTGTAACATGGGTCCTGGACTGTGTGTGGTGGGACATGGGACCATCTCTTACAAAGAGTCCCCAGTTTCAAGGGCGATGAGGGAGGTGGAAATCTCTGTTCTCCACAACTTCCCATGAATTCTGGCCCTGTTCACTGGCCCCGTAATCCATTTGAAATAATAATGATAATCATACTTTTATTGACCCTCGTGGGGAAATTCTCTTTTCGCCTACTGAGACACAGACAGTGCTGTGTTCCATTTACCTTGGAGGTGGGAAGTCTGAGCTGGGAATGACATCACATACGAGTTAAATTAACTGTGTTCCAGTACAATTCAGAAAGCCATTTTGCAATAACCTGAGTTGGGTAATTCAGATCCAGAGAGTAAAAGTCCTGACCGGGATTTTGTTTCAACCAACCAGTTGAGTGATCTGTGACTGTGACTGGTTGGTCGAAACAAAATCTTGGTCTGGACTTTTACTTCCTGGACCTGAATTACCCAACTCTGACAATACCAGGGACCTATTTAAAATGGCAGTATTTCTTGCTTAGCTGGATAATTTAATGTATCCCAGTTTAAATGGCCTTCATTCATTTACATTTAGCCCAGACTACCTTAAATCCGACAACTTATCTGGCTAAACAAGAAACTCTGCTTTCTGAAACAAGCTGGGGCTCAAGCCCGGTTAACTGTTAGCCATTGTTAGCAATATCAAATAATAACAACACATTACATTGTATTTTGTGCATAGAAACACCGTAATGACACGTTCACACATTGGACAAAACTGTGTGTACGACCGATTTAATGAGCCACAAATAAAACGTAAGTGCTAATGAACAGTATAAAACTACAGCTTTTAATTCTGTTGATAAAGGGGGCAGCCATCTTGGATTCTGAGGTGGAGGACAGACAGACAGACAGACAGACAGACAGACAGACAGACAGACAGACAGACAGATAGATAGATAGATAGATAGATAGATAGATAGATAGATAGATAGATAGATAGATAGATAGATAGGTCCATCGATCCCCTACTCATTCCCTCATGGAAACCCAGGTATCCTGTAGCTCAAACACATCAGTAAAAATTTGTAAGAAGAAGCTCCTCCGACTTCACGAGTCAGAATTCCGACTTCAGGGGATGTTCCAGCTGAAATTTCTGAGTAGAAACTCTGAATTTCTGAGTTACGAGTTCAAATGAAATGCAGCATTAAGTGAGAGCAAGCTTAGCAGCAAAGGGCAGCCGCCCGCAGCAGCTGGGGGTTGAGGGTCTCGCTCGAGGGTCCACAGATGTGACTGTTCTACCAAGGCCCATCTTCCGACGACAGGCAC